TACTCACATCTCCAGGCATCTCATCTCCAAGGTACTCTAAAGATTTCTTCCACAAATCCCTTCCCAGAGCACAGCTATCACCATGCCCCCTCTGTCTTGGTGGTTCCGGGCAACCCAATGAAGGCAATTCCCTGGCAAGGCATTCAAGGGTTTTCATAACACGGTAAGAAATTAAGTGTAAGAAATTAAAACAACATGAAAGCATATAAAGTTAAAAGGGAACATTCCCATCTATTCCTCTACTCCCTCTCCCTGAAGCAGCCCTCCCAACAATTTCCCAGTTTTTTTCTAGCCTTACGTCTTCAGACTTCCTGTACTTCTCTAAGGCCCCAGCTAAACAAGTACCCTTGACAACTCTACATATTTTCCCTTGCTTTCCTGTTCCCAAGCCTTTACTCATAATATTCTTTAAATCTGGAATGTAATAGAATGTTCTTCCCTCCATCTTTGACCAAATTCTACCGATCCTTGGAGACCTAACTTCCATGTCACTTGCTTTGTAATGCTTTCCCAATCCACTTATTAAAATCCCTGCCTTCTCCTTTGACTTCCCACAGCATTTCTTCTAGTTCCTGCCTATACAGCACTTGTTACTTTATTCTCTACTCTTTGGGTACCAAGCCAGCCTCTGCTATTTAAATGTAAGCTCCCAGGGGCAGAGACCATTTCTCAGTTTCCGTTGGTGCCCCCCACCACCCCTACACTTGGACCTTCCGTGCACATAGTGGGGATTCAATACATTCTTAGGAGTGAGTAAGAGAAAAGAGCCTGGAGCCTCCAGACTGTGGCTTTGGCTTTCAATTTACCTTTTAAAACGCCAGTGGCCCTTTCCACAGTTTGGCTATTGTGGACATTGCTGCTATGAACATTGGGGTGCATGTGGCCCTTCTTTTCACTACATCTGTATCTTTGGGGTGAATGCCCAGTAGTGCAATTGCTGGGTCATAGGGTAGCTCTATTTTTAACTTTTTGAGGAAAGAGCCAAGATGCCCTTCAACAGACGAATGGATAAAGAAGATGTGGTCCATCTATACAATGGAATATTACTCAGCCATCAGAAAGGAATTTTTGCATCAACATGGATGGAACTGGAGGAGATTATGCTAAGTGAAATAAGTCAAGCAGAGAAAGTCAATTATCATATGGTTTCATGTATGTGTGGAACATAAGGAATAGCACAGAGGACATTAGGAGAAGGAAGGGAAAAGTGAAGGGGGGGAAATCAGAAGGGGAGATGAACCATGAGAGACTCTGGACTCCAGGAAACAAACTGAGGGTTTTGGGGGGGTGTGGGGGGATGGGTTAGCCTGGTGATGCATATTAAAGAGGGCACATACTGCATGGAGCACTGGGTGTTATCCACAAGCAATGAATCATGGAATACTACATCAAAAACTAATGATGTATGGTACTGTATGTGACTAACATAACATAATAAAAAAATAAATAAATAAAATACCACTGGCATCACCTGTGATGAGTGGGTTCTGTTAGCATCTCAGTTAAAGGATGTGGTGAATCATCAGGGGCTTTTGGAATACTTACTGGTTCCAGGTGACTATCTGGAACACACAGAGAACTAAACAAGTAAACAACGACAAAACCCCCCCCCCCAAAAAAAACCCAAGAAAACCAAACTATCAAAGTCCTGCTATTTTAAAGAGAACCATATGACTCTTTTCAAAATGTGGAGCTGAACAATCCCTCTCGTTACTTCAATGAAACCAAAACAGACATTTAACCTCCAAAAAAACCAAGAAGCCCCAAAGCCCCTAACTTTCCTTCCTCTGCCTTGGCAGGCTGCTTGCACAATGACTGTGTGGGGCTCTCTAGTGAACCATGAATTTAGTTTCATTTTCTTTTAGTACAAGAAATTTGAAAGAAGTCATTTTTTCAGCATGAAATGGGGGTGAAGGGAAGGAGGAGGGTCACCAGAGTGGGGACAGCTTCCCAGCAGTCTCAGACTGGACGAGGTCAAATCTACTTGCTTTCTGCATTGAACACAGCCCAGTGGATGGTTAATAGAAACTGACACCTACATAAGGCAGAAATCTTTCAAAACAACATGCTTATTAATTTTTTTTGTATTTGGCTTGGTTTACATAAGCTTCTTGTATAAAATAATGTAATAATAAAAGCCTAATCAGCTCCCAGGATCTTTAAACATTGTAACAAACTATCTCATTACCTGTTGCTTTGCAGCACTGATTCATCCACAGCAATTTCATCCTATCTGTAGTTTTGCCAAGAAATAAAATCAATCCTTCATCAGTCCCTCCTCCAAATGCTTAGATCATTATCAATCCATTTGTGAGCCTACTCCTACTTAAAGTTACTGCTAGAACTATATCCAACAACAGTTAAAACAACTCAAAAACCCTTTCAACTATAAGGCTATTCTCCAAAACTCTTTTACCTCATTTGTACTTGGACTTTACAAACAATTTCCATTTTTTTTTTCAGTGCCTTTCTACTCAAGTGAACTTAATTCATTTTCCAAACAAAAGTACAGTTTGTCTTGATAGTAGTATCAAGGGAGGAGGAGAGTTACTGAAAAAGTTGACTATAATTATGACTTAGGAGAGAGATTATGAGATGCTGTGGGGAAGAAGAATTATGAGAAGGGAGATGGTGTGGGCAAGAGAAAATAGAAATAGAAAAGGTCTGGCACACAGCAAGGGGCAGGGCAGTGATATCGAGGCCATTTCTGCAGGGGCATAATGGTGTCTGTCTTTGGAGAAGGCCAGTGAACAGCTCCTTCCATCGTGAGCACAGGGTTCTAACGTATGGATACTGACTGCGACCTTTCCTATCAGTAGAGGTGCCAGGCTCTGCTCTCTATAGCCAACCATGCCTACTGTTGCACTGTTCCTTACCTACACGAAAAACCTCACCAGCTACCCAGAGACCTGGGGCCCATCCTCACCCCTACCCCCCCACATCCATTAGTCACCAAGCCCTGCTCACTCTCCCTCCTAAATGCTTCTGATTCCCCCATCTCTCTCTCATCCCCATCCTTTGGCTTGGACCACTATGCTACAATGGCCTTCTAATTAGTCATTCACACTCTGTGTCCTCTGCCATTCTATTGTGCACACATTATTCAACCTGTCTTCCCAGCCTCTCCCTGCCACATCCCACCACCCATCCTGGCCTTCCACCTCCTAAAATGCTCCTTTCCACCACAAAGGCTCCGAAAGCTATTCAAATGATTCCTTCTGCTTAAAATATTGCTTCCAGCCACACCCCCTCCTCATGTCCCTTTTTGGATCTTTCTGATCTTAACTTGAGGTTGGGTTCCCTAGTATGTGCCCCATCAGTAATACAGAGGTGTACTTTTGTAATTAATTGTTCAAAGCTCTCTTCTCTGTTAGTCTCTAAGTGCTCTGAGATCAGAGGTTGTATTTGTCTTTGTATATTCTTGTATAATATGGGGGTAAAACAAGAATTTATAGAATAAGGATTAGATGAGCTAATCCAATCAGACAGCTTTGAATACTACCTGATGTATATGTAAGGGTCATGTAAGCTGTAGCCATAATAGTAATAATTAGCACGGTACCTGGAACAAAACATGTACTCAATAAATACATGTTGAATGAATAAAGGAATAAATAAACTGAGGGATGAACAAATGAATTCACCAATCCAGAGGGCCTCCTTTTTTTAAGAACCAGCTGTTACCCATAACTGAGTACAGGAATGTTGTATGGAAAACAATCACAGAGAGGAATAATTGCTTTCCCTGTCTACTGCCACCATGATAAATGGTAAAAATAGCAATTTTGGTTTCCTCTGATTTTGAATTCACTCTACTGTATTGCTAACTAAATATTCAAAGCAAGGAGATTGCAAATTAATCAAGGGATATAATATCACCAAGTATATTTCCAGGCTTCTTGACCTGGTCTTTATTAATTAAAAAGCGTCCTTCTTAAGGAGTAACATCCTCTAATTATTCCCAAGCTAAATCCTTTAGAAAACCATGCATACCAGGTCACCCATCCCAACAAACATTTATACAGAAAATTTCAACCTATGTTGCCAAAAAGGGAAGGTTTTCACCCCTCTGTTCTAGTACCTTCCATATTTCAGATTCCTCAATGTCTTCAAGAGAAAGGCACCAATCACATGACTATACATCATGCTCTGCTGGTCTAACAAAAAGAGAAAAAAAATAACACAAACCAACCCGGGCCTCTAGCCAGGGTTCTGTAGTGGCTGAGGGGACATACTGATCAAAAGCTACAAGTGGGGAAAGTGCCTCTGAGTTGATCCAACCCAGTTTCTTGGGTTGGATCTTGGGTTCTTCAGTGTCAATCCTACTATCTGACAAAGTTTTGTTTATTATCCTTTAAGGCAGACTGTGATAATATTTTTAAATTATTTTGCTGCATATAGCTTATTCGGATTTAGACATAAATACTGTGTCATCACATTGGCAATGCAACATCTGTCCTTCTTTCCCTCCTCTATCAGAGGAAAGGTTTTGTTCCTTTCTCTAACTTTTTCTCCTCCTGCCTTGGACCCATCTATTTCTGCCTCTGAGCTCTGTGACAATTCATACTTTGTGTTTTCAGCTCAGTCATCAATTTTGGAAACTGGTATTTAAGAGATTTGATAGTTATAAAAAATAACTATAACAAGTAAGTTGTCATTTCTTCATATTTAAAACCAAAAAATGCTATGCTGAATTCCATTATGGAGCATGAGGAATGCCAGATTTGTTTCTTTTTTTTCCTTTTGAGGATAAATTTTACTTGGGGATTTTTGTTATTGCTGCTGCAGCTGCTGCTGGTACAACTTTAAAACCTCAAGAAATACCAGTAATAATAACAACAAGAATTACAATAATGAAGAATAGAATGACATATTAATTATTTCCATGTTTATTACTTTTTCTATAGATGTATAATTTATGATAGCCTATGTTTTCTCATTTAAGTCTATGTTTTCCATACTTAAGATAATTTATATATATATAAGTAAATATAACTGACCTGTTTTTCTATGGAGCAAACTGGATTGGTACCCAAAAGTGCTGACATCCTGGACTTGTGTGGTTGCTGAGGATGGCAACGTCCTCAGACCTTCAGGGTTCCCAGGTGGGAAGGGCGAGCTCTGTGAGTGTCTACATTCACTTCTATCCATGCTGGATAAGTGGAGAGCATCTTGAGCTTTCTTTTTTTCCTTCTTTAGCATATTGACCAGAATATCTGAAACTTGATTTAAGGATTTAGTGACTCATGCTAAGTTGGAATGATCAGAACACTAATGTTTCAATTGAGGTTAATATTTCCAACAATATTTGCTATTTGTCATATGGTAGAGACCACTGAAGAAGACTTCAACTTCCTGAAGTCATTTATCTAGTTATAGACAGTTTAGGAAGCAACTGGTCTTTCAATATGGCACCATTATATGAAAAATTAGCAAACCCAAAGGTCTTTAAAATGCTCTGAGTTTAAACTGGTAAAGACTCAAAATTCTTGTGAAAGAGTTTACAAGAAATAAAATGAACACTTAGTAGGAGCGGGCAATGGAGCTATGGATGTATCTGTGAATAAGTAAGACAAGAATCCAGGATGCCACTCAGGAGGCAGCAGGAGTGGAGAGGGAGAACACCAGAATCTGCCCAACTGGCAGAGCAGCCAAATCAGTTCTGGTGGCCACAGCACTCCTACATCCAACACATGTTTGCTTAGCATACATTTGAATGGGACTTACAGTCACATTTTTTAAAAAAGTCTTTAAATCTTGGTCCCAAATGGAACTGAAAAGAAGTGAATTGTTAGTACAGATACATTATTTTACAGTGCACCTTTTGGTGGGCCATTTCAATATATTAGGAGCACTGATGAGGATCAATAACATCACTGCATGCCACCCTCCTTTGCTGTTCTTTCCAGCTTCAGATGCTGAGAACTCTAAGGGATTTCTGCCATCACTGAGAGAAAAGACTAAAATCCCTCTTGAGAATCTCAGAGCTCCAAGTGCATATGCAGCAAGCTGAATTGCAGGCCTCCAGCATCCCTAGAGATGGGGAGTGAGGAAATATGGAGGTGGTGGGGAGAGAAGACTGCAACTCAGATGCCTGTTCTTGGGCAAGTCTCATAGGGCTCATTTGATTTCCATTTTCCTCTTCAGCTTTGACTCCAACTTCTTGGACATTTCCAGAAGCATAATCACTCTTTCTCTCAGAGTCGCTGATGTGGCTTCCAATCTTTGCCTCAAAAGATGTGTCCTTACCAAAAGGTGTGTGGGCCTTGGCCTGGCAGAGAAGAGCAGTGCTCTGCGCACATTTTCCACTCCTTCTCGTGCGGAACTGATTATCCATAGCATCAGATGCTTCCGCGGGCTCACACACTGCACTGGCAATATCCATTCCCTCACCCATTCGACAGTGTGCTGTGGAGCTTGTACTATGCGCCAGGCATGATTCTAGGCAGAGGGATGGAATGATGAAAAGGCAGACTAGTTTCTTGTTCTCATGAAGCAGATGTCCTACTCGGGAAAGTCAGATCTCAAGTACATGAACTGAATGTTAGAGGATGAAGGGATAGCTAATTTTTAAAAGGTCAAGAATGACTGAGCGGCTACTCTACATTGGGTGCTCACAAAAGACTTAGGAGATTGACATTTAATCGGAACATCAAGAGGCAGTGGCCAGAGGAAGAGTATGTCAGCAGAGTTCATGGCTAGCACTAAAACCCTCAGGAGAAGGGCCTTGTCAGTGGCTCCCAACAGGGGCTATTTTACCACTCAAAGGATGTTTGGCCATGTCTAGAAGCATTTTTGGTTGTCGTACTGCAGTGGGGTGGGGGGGCAGGTGTTGGTTACTTAAGTCTAGTGGGTAGAGGCCAGAGAGGCTGCAAAACATCCTACAATGCACAGGGGAGCCCCCACAACAGAGAATTATACAGCTCCAAATGTTGAAAGTGCCAAGGTTGAGAAACCTGGTGTTAGAACAACCACAAAAAGGACACTGTGACCAAAACCTAACACATACGGGACAGAGACATAATAAATGAAATCAGGGGCTTGGCAGGGGCTCCATCATGTAGAGCCTTGTGATCTGGAGTAAGGAGCTGAGGCTCATTCTAATGGGCCCTGGCAGAATTTAACCAGAGACGTGCAGCATTCTGATGTAGATTTACATGAAGATCAGAGTACAGATTTATCTTCTTGGCTGCCTTCCTTCTTCTCACCTTTCCTTTGTCTTCTTCCTGTGCCCATTCCATTTAACTTGGGCCTTTGTTGTGCGGGGTCCTAAATGACACACTGTTACATGTTTGGCAAAGGGGTGTCTGAACTTTACTCAGACTCATAATGTCACTGAAATGACACCATTTTCACTCCCTTTCCAAGAAGAGTGTTCAATGTCATTCGCTGTCATCTTGATTGCTTTACTTTCTTTTGTTGAGCTCAAGTATTACCACCTGTTTTTCTCATATACCAGATCTTTCTCATTTCTCCTGTCAGTCTTCGCCTTGGTGGTTCTACAAACGAGATTATGAAAATATCCTCCAACCTGGCTGTGAGAAACCTTGAAATTTCAACAGTCTTTCTTGGTTATTAGCTCTTGATGAGCACAAGCTTTGTGATGAGTAGATCTGAGCTGTTATTTTTCCTCCTTCTGAGTTTGCCCATTGTCTGCAGAGTCCTATCTCCCATCATAGCACACCATGTGCTCAAAAGCGCTCAAAGCACTTTCCAGTACCTTACCTTACTGGCTTTGCTCAGCACTGTGAGGTTGGCAAGGCAGGCTGTACGGTCCTACTACTGAAGAGTAGGAAACCATTCCATTGAATAGCTGTGGAGCTAATGCAGGAAGAGCGAGGATGTCAATCCAGGTGTGAACTTGAAGTTCACTGATCTTTTCACCACGGCTCCTACATACCATTGTTTTGAACAGGAGTCTCAGAAGGAGGAGATGCTGCTCAGGTCATTCCCAGTCAGTGAAGAATCCAGCGCAGCACCACATGAACAGTGGTACCTGGGTCTGGAGGTCAATAAGGGAGATGATGTATGTCTCTCTGTCACTCTCCTGTTTAAATAAATACACATGCATAAGCCCAGACTGGTTCCTTGCTGTCATATCTCATCTCATCCCTCCTATAGGCACACACATTCATAAACCCAGGAGGGGATTAAGAAGTTGGTAGGAGTGTTTAGGGGAGAAGATCCTAAAATAGGATCAAGATTTGGAAAAGAAGCAGAGCTCAGACTGGGGCTGGGGCCAGGCCTGAGGTCTGGGCTGGGAGCATCCCTGGAGCTGGATAGGGTAAGAGAGAGGAACAGGAATGCAGGGTGACCCTGTGGGCAGCGCTCACAGACAAGGCCTCGCGTGGGAGTAGAATTCACAGCTGAACCTACTGTTGCTGGCTGGATAAGAAAGCAGCTAAAACTCGCTTGGATCAGGCATAGAGGGTCTGCTAATACTCAGCTAAAATTAGAGAGCGGGGTTCATCAGGCAGTGTGCCTACCTTGTGTGTGGTTTGTTTTTACCTCTTTATTACTGGATGTCCTCCGTATAGGTTATTTTTATGCATCTTTTTCACATTAGCCGCAGCTAAAAGCCCTTTAGTAATTTTTAAAAATGAACACAAATACCTGTTGATAAGAACTGACCAAAATAACTTCTTGTGCACATTTAAAGTCAGCAAATGCAATGAAAATGTCAAATCTTTTTACAGGAAGCTTGACAGATACAATGAGAAATAAGACTGAAGAAATGCTGGGGAAAGCTGAGGTCTAAGCCCCCCAGCCTGTACCTGGAGGCAGCTCCCATGGGCTCCTGCCTCTCATGGTACCCCAAACACACTGCCTCCTAGACCCAAAAAGGGTTCTATCTTGAACACCCATCGACACTCGCTTCCAAACTGGGGAACATTTGTTAAGTGGAACCTAAAGCAGTAGATCTGGGTTTTAAATTAAAAAAAAAAAAAGTTACATTTAAATCAATCTCTGCTTTCCATAAGCTAAATACCATTTGTCAGTTTTCAGCCACCATCTGAGTGCCGCCCACACACCAGCCACAAATTCTGGGCCCTGGTGAGGCTGTGGTCAGCCCAGTGTCCGGTCAGTCAGCTAAAGATAACCAGCTAACTCATTGGCTCAGAACTAAAACAGAAAGAGCACAGTGGAGTAGTCAAAAAAAATATTTAAAAAAAAATTTCATGTTAAGAGATGGGGTAAAAAAGACCACGCTTCTCAATAAACTGAAATAGTCCCCATAATAGTAACTGTATCTAGCTAAAAACAAAGTCAAAGTGTTTCTTTTATAGCAACAGTGTTTTTCACTGGTCACTACATTTTCTGTGTGGGAAGGACCTCTCCTAAATGGCAAGAAGCAGTGTGAACTGGAAGCAGGGTCGGGGGCTCGATGATGTGGCTAGCAGAAGGCACCGAAGTGTTCCCCTCCCTCTTGCAAGCCAGGAGAGGGTCACTTTCTAATCGCTTTGGAAAGGATACTGATTTCATTATCCCTCTGCTGTAGAATGTCTCGGAGCTTTTGGTATTCTTCCTCTTTTAATGGTTCTTGGCAGTCTTGATCTTTGATTTCAGAGGAGACTGTGCTTTTTCCCTGAATCTTCTTGTCATTCAATAGTTTCTGTAAGATGAAATAAGAGCTTAGAGCCTATACCTCTCTTCCAAATCTCTTAGTTTCTTGGACTCTTTTCGCCTTCGACAATTCTTGCACAAATCAGGCATGCCTGCCCTTTCTTGCCTCCTTGTCTCTGCAACGCAGCTGCCTTCCCCTTCTCCCTGCCCCTCTCTCTTCTCCCCTCCCCTTCCTCATCCTGTTCTCTGCTATCATCTCTCTCCTTCCCTAAACTCAGAAATTCCTACTCAAACATGATCTGCTCTTGAACTTCTTTCTCTTTCTCCCTAACCCCATACCACTTGCTTCACACTTTTTTATTTATTTTTTATAAGGTCTTTTTTTTTAAATTTAATTTAATTTTATTATGTTAGTCACCATACAGTACATCATTAGTTTTTGATGTAGTGTTCCATGAGTCATTGTTTGTGTATAACACCCAGTGCTCCGCGCAATACGTGCCCTCCTTAATAGCCATCACCGGGCTAACCATCCCCCCACCCCCTCCCCTCTAAAACCCCCACACTTTTAAAAAATATCACTTATCATGTGTTATAATTATTCTCTACATATATGTCTTCTTCATGACTTACTTATTCAATTTTGCTTTCCCAATGCCTGGCCCAAAGCAGACTCACAATAAATGTTTATTATCATAGTGAAGAATGCCAAATTATAAGTGAGATAGAAATAAAAGTTAATGATATTCCCACTGTGTCATCATGAAAGGTAAAATGTAAGGTAGAGAAAAACTGAGGGTTTATATGGATAAATCTAAACTGCTGGAAAAATACAGGACACAATTTTCTTGATATATGTTGAAAATAAATGGTTTTTGAACATGGAATTATTCTGTGTACAAGTTAGAGATTCCTGGCAAAAGAATTACAAGTCTATGGTCTGAGCTTATTCACTGGCAGGTAAGATACAACCTTTGAAGAAATTCTGGAATAATCCCAGCATTGTTGGAAGATCATAATGTTCTAGACATGTGAAGCTGGATCCTAGCCTTTGAAGAGTTGGTCAACTAGGCAAACTTCACTGCAGTTTCAACATGGCAGACAATGGCTTCTACTAGAAGAAATGCTGAACTTTACCTTTAAATGATGGAAACAGTGATGAATTTTACGCATATCAGTGCCAACCGCTAGTCTACTTTCTGGATCTTGGTCTTCCAAAAAGGATGATACTAGTTTTTCCAGCCTAAAAATACATAATGTATGAGAAACAACTATGAGCTAGAAACTTTAGAAATTCTAATGGCATTACTTGGTTGGTTAACATTCAAAGTACAGGATATTTTTCCACTTTATGGAAATATAGTTAACTGATTTAACTAATAATTAAGGGGAAAGAAACATATTGACAAAGTGAAATCTGAAATGATGCAATTATTTGACTACTTTCTGATAGATTTTTTTTTATTATTCTATGTTAATCATCATACATTACATCACTAGTTTTTGATGTAGTGTTCCATGATTCATTGTTGCATATAACACCCAGTTCTCCATTCAGTATGTGCCCTCTTTAATACCCATCACCAGGCTAACCAATCCCCCCATCTCCCTCCCCTCTAAAACCCTCAGTTTGTTTTTCAGAGTCCATAGTCTCTCATGGTTCGTCTCCCCCTCCAATTTCCCCCCCTTCATTTTTACCTTCCTACTATCTTCTTCTTTTTTTTTAACATATGATGTATTATTTGTTTCAGAGGTACAGTCTGTGATTGAACAGTCTTACACAATGCACAGCACTCACCATAGCACATACCCTCCCCAATGTCTATCACCCAGCCACACCATGGCTCCCATCCCCCACCACTCCAGCAACACTCAGTTTGTTTCCTGAGATTAAGAATTCCTCTTATCAGTGAGATCATATGATATATGTTTTTCTCTGATTGACTTATTTAGCTCAGCATAATACCCTCCAGTTCCATCCACGTCGTTGCAAATGGCAAGATCTCATTCCTTTTGATGGCTACGTAATATTCTGTTGCATATATATACCACATCTTCTTTATCCATTCATCTGTCGATGGACATCTTGGCTCATTCTACAGTTTGGCTATTGTGGACATTGCTGCTATAAACAT